TGCCATAGCAACTCCGAATTGCCCGCAATGGCGCAGGAGGCTTGCGGGGGCGCCTTTTGCGCATGCGCGGCAACCACTACAGGTTTGCTTTGAACCTTAGAGATAGGAAAAAGATGAGAGAAGAATTGTGGTGTTTGCAGGATTAAACATTCTGATTCTTTTTTTTATTAAAGTAACTTTTTCTTCTATATGGAAATTATATGGACCAGACTGTGGCACAGGTAATTAGTAGCCAGCTGCATTAAATCGCTACATGAGTTCGAAGCCAGCCTGGGTCCAAGTGAGCTCCCACCCATTAATAGTCTAGCTTGCTGTTGACCTATGCAGCCCAAAAGACAGTTGCATCTGTCAAGTAGGAAATTTGGGTACCGCTTTATGCGGGGAGGCTAATTTAACTAATTTAAGACATCATAAAACCTACCAGCAGTGTGTGTAAGAATCATAGAATCGAATGGAACACCCCAGCAAGCGAGAGTCCAAAAGTGGCAGGCCCAAACCCAGCACCTCAATTCATGGGTGATACCAGATGAGAGACTCCCCCCTGGGCACACATAAGACTGGGTGACTTGGAAGGCGCTGAACAGACTCCACTCTGGCACCACGAGATGCAGAGCCAATCTTAAGAAATGGGGCTACAGGGTGGAATCCTCGGCATGCGAGTGCGGAGAAGAACAAACCACTGACCACCTGCTGCAATGCACCCTGAGCCCTGCCGCATGCACAATGGAGGACCTTCTTGCGGCAACCTCAGAGGCACTCCAAGTGGCCAGATACTGGTCAAAGGACATTTAACCAAATACCAAATTTGCAGAATCTGTGCGGTTTTTTTTCTCTTCCTTTTTCTTTTTAATCTGTGTGTTTGTTTTGCTCTGTTAAAATTGTAATACAATGGTTGCTGACGACACGATAAATAAATAAATAAATAGAATCGAATCATAAGTTGGAACAAGGAGCTCCCGGTGGCGTAGTGGGTTAAACCCCTGTGCCGGCAGGACTGAAGACTGACAGGTCGCAGGTTCAAATCCGGGGAGAGGCGGATGAGCTCCTTCTATCAGCTCCAGCTCCTCATGTGGGGACATGAGAGAAGCCTCCCACAAGGATGATAAAAACATCAAAAATTATCTGGGCATCCTCTGGGCAATGTCCTTGCAGATGGCCAATTCTCTCATACCAGAAGCAACTTGCAGTTTCTCAAGTTGCTCCTGACACAACAATAACAACAACAACAACAACAACAATAATAATAAGTTAGAACACACCTCGTGGGCCATCCAGTCCAATCCCCTGCCAAGGAGCATGAAACTCGTGTTCAAAGCACCTCCCCAACAAATGGCCATACAGCCTCTGTTTGAAAGCCTCCAAAGAAGGAGCCGCCACCACACTCCGGGGCAGAGAGTTCCACTGCTGAACAGCTCTCACAGTCAGCAAGTTCTTCCTCATGTTTAGGTGGAATCTCCTTTCCTGTAGTTTGAAGCCATTGCTCCACGTCCTTGTCTCCAGGGCAGCAGAAAACAAGCTTGCTCCTTCCTCCCTATGACTTCCCCTTACATATTTATGCATGGCTATAAGAAAAGCATTAATCAAAGCCGAAACATGTCATAAGAAAAGCATCACTCAAAAACCCCATATGGACTTGGAAAAACTATTATACCAAAGGGAAATGTACTGGATCTTTAAGTTCAAAACTTTTTCCCCTCAGGGACTGAATGAGTCACTTAATTTTAGCTGTTTCCTTTAAATTTCTAAATACTCCTGGGGATGAAGCTTTAGGATTACTCATAGTTGGAATTACTACAAGCAGAGTCATTTCTTATAAAGCTATTAGGCACTATGTGAGTAGTGCCTAATAAGGATTATCTCTATGTTTGTTATAAGGATTATCTCTACTTTTATAATTTTGCTGGAAAAGACTTGTTACTCTATGTTTTGTTTTAGATATGATTCTAGAGTCACTGTGCATAACAACTCCTGAAGAAGGGGATTTTCCCCCCAAAACAGGGTACAAAAATACCTGGGTACCCCTGTAAATGCCATTTGGATTTTCTCTATGAAGACAGTTTTGAGAGCAGTGCTCCATTATCACTGGACTTTACTTGGATTTTGATGCTATTCGGACTTTCCTTTGGACTTCATGACTCATTGTCTGTTTACTCTGAAAGGTTTCTTCATTGAACACATATCCCTGAAGCCTATATATATTGGGATCTATCAGACTTAGAACTGTTATGGTTGAGAGTGGTTGCTCCTTTTCACTTTTCTGTATGCCACTGTATTGCGTGTATATTGGGAATTTTGATAAAATTATATACTGTATGCTCTTTGGATATTATACTTTCTCCTTACATAGATTGCTTTGTGTTTGTTCTGACATCCAACAAGTATTCTGGAACATTTTATAGTAGTATAAACAATGCTAGAAGACAAACATTTGAGTTTGGCCAAACCGATGAGCCCAATCGCCAAAGTAGATTCAGCACTTTGGACAGTTCCTTCCAGCTTAGTGACAGCAACAGAGGGGATTTGCTGAAAGGGCCCTCTTCGTGTCAGGCTGGATCTACACTGCCATATAATCCAATTTCTTTGCTTTGAACTGGGTTGTATGAATCAACACTGCCATATAATCCAGCCCAAAGCAGATAACCTGGATTCAGAAACTTGATAATATGTCAGTGTAGATGGAGCCTTACATGTTTTCCCTCCCAGTCTAAGGTGAAATCAAGCTCTCAAGTGAGTGCAAAGGCCTGATGACTTTATTGATTCGCATAACAAATTATTTATAAAAGACTAGTGGTCTCCTGCCACGCGTTGCTATGGCCCAGTGTGTTTATATGTGTTTTGTGTGTGTATATGTGTGGTTACATAAATATATATATATGGGTTTGTGCATGCATTGTAATGTAATTTTTGTTTTTTGGCTCTTAAAGTCTCTTCTGCTGTGTTTTCCAGTGTTTTTATGAGTGGTGGTCATTCCTTGGCCTGATAGGTGTATCGTGTTCAAATTTGGTGTCAATTCGTCCAGTGCTTTTTGAGTCATGTTAATCCCACAAACGAACATTACATTTTTATTTGTATACTAGCTGTCCCCTGCCACGTGTTGTTGTGGCCCACATGGGGGTTCTGTGTGGGAGGTTTGGTCTTATTCTATCGTTGGTGGGGTTCAGAATGCTCTGTGATTGTAGGTGAACTATAAATCCCAGCAACTACAACTCCCAAATGTCAAGATTCTATTTTCCCCAATCTCCACCAGTGTTCACATTTGGGCATATTGAGTATTCGTGTAGAGTTTGGTCCAGATCCATCATTGTTTGAGTCCACAGTAATCTCTGGATGTAGGTGAACTACAACTCCAAAACCAAAGGACACTGCCCACCAAACCCTTCCAGTATTTTCTGTTGGTCATGGGAGAACTGTGTGCCAAGTTTGGTTCAATTCCATCGTTGGTGGAGTTCAGAATGTTCTTTGATTGTAGGTGAACTATAAATCCCAGCAACTACAACTCCCAAATGTCAAGTGTATTTTCCACAAACTTCAACAGTGTTCACATTTGAGCATATTTGTGCCAAGTTTGGTCCAGATGCATCATTGTTTGAGTCCATAGTGCTCTCTGGATATAGATGAACTACAACTCCAAAATTCAAGGTCAGTGCTCACCAAACCCTTCCAGTATTTTATCTGTGCCACGTTTGGTTCCATTCCATCATTGGTGGAGTTCAGAATGCTTTTTGATTGTAAGCAAACTATAAATCCCAGCAACTACAACTCCCAAATGACAAAATCAATTTTTTTGAGTGATGGTCACTCCTTGGGGGAGTAGGTGTCTTGCGTCCCAATTTGGTGTCAATTCGTCCAGTGGTTTTTGAGTTCTGTTAATCCCACAAACGAACATTACATTTTATTTATATAGATAGATAGAAGAAGACGATAAGATTTATTTGTTGTGTCAGGGCAATCAGTCAATTGTATTACATTTCTAACAGAACAAAACAAACAGACAGACAAAATACAAAATTTGTGGGTTTGGTAGTTGATTAAATGTCCTTTGACCAGTAGCTGGCCACTTGGAGTGCTTCTGGTGTTGCTGTAAGAAGGTCCTCCATTGTGCATGTGGCAGGGCTCAGGTTGCATTGCAGCAGGTGGTCAGTGGTTTGCTCTTCTCCACACTCGCACGTCGTGGATTCCACTTTGTGGCCTCATTTCTTGAGGTTGGTTCTGCATCTCGTGGTGCCAGAGTGGAGTCTGTTCAGCGCCTTCCAAGTCGCCCAGTCTTCTGTGTGCCCAGGGGAAGTCTCTCATTTGGTATCAGCCATTGGTTGAGGTTCTGGGTTTGAGCCTGCCACTTTTGGACTCTCGCTTGCTGAGGTGTTCCAGCGAGTGTCTCTGTAGATCATAAGATGGAAATGATTAAGACCTTTCAGTTCCCAACGCAACCCAAAAGTCACGGTCTGCGTGTCAGTCTTCCAAATTCTCTGCTTCATGGTCATCTTTCCAAACAATGGGACGCATGCGCCGATTTGCAGAATTGTGGTCACAATGGGTGAAGTGCGCATGCGTGGATGAGGCGGACTTGATGGCGGGCCCGTCGCCCGGACTAGGACTGGTTGGCGCAGTCAAAGCTCCTCCAGTTGCCAGGCAGATTTGTTACATTAATCGATTCCGATTTATTTCGGATTCAGGGGGAAAAGAAGGGTGAAAACTTATTTCAGGTTTATGGCCTAAAGGAAGGAGGCTTTTGTAGTCAAGGACCTACCATCATTGGCTAGTTAAGACTGTCATAAAGTTAAGCATTATTGGGTCATTCCTGCCTCCTCCTCCCCCACATTATACTAATGGAACAGTCCAATCTCTTCTAGTGACGTTGCTTCCGGTGTAAGCGCCGCATTTCCGGCGGAAATCGAGTGGAACATTTGGGATTCCGAACGCACTGCGACGTCGAGGTAGTATAAGCGCGCGCTTCCGGTTACACATCATCCACCCCTTTCTGTCCTCTTGCGTCATTTCCGCGAAGTAGCCTGAAGAATTTTGACTCCAACGTGAGCCCGTAGAAGCGAGGCGGTTCAACACCCCCCTCGCGCGCGCGTTGTAATGGGCTGGTTTCCAAGGCAACCGACGGCTTTGTTTACTTCCCAAGTTGAAAGCGGATGTCTAGATGTCTCCTTCTCCTTGTTTTAGTCTTCCAACAAAGAAAGACCGAGAGAGAAAGGGAGCGGGCCGAGGAGACGGTAATCCGAGGCCTCTCCACGATTAGAAGAGACATTTGGCAATATGATGAGATGCTTTTAATATTCAGGAGGGAAGAGGGTGCGCAGATTCGCGCCTCTCATGAATATTCATCATTGGCACACTGAATATACATGAGAGGATCAACAGTGACACAAAAGGACTGGGTGCTTTTTAAAGGATCCTGAGGGAGATCCTTTAAAAAGAGGGAACTTCACCCATAGACGGAAGTTTAAGAATCGTGTTAATATTTATAATCAAGAGCAGAATTATTATTATTATATTCAATTATACCCTGCTATTCCCCAACCTAAAAAGACATGTTGTTGTTCATTCGTTCAGTCGTCTCCGACTCTTCGTGACCTCATGGACCAGCCCACGCCAGAGCTCCCTGTCGGCCGTCACCACCCCCAGCTCCTTCAAGGTCAGTCCAGTCACTTCAAGGATGCCATCCATCCATCTTGCCCTTGGTCGGCCCCTCTTCCTTTTGCCTTCCACTTTCCCCAGCATCATTGTCGTCTCTAGGCTCTGCTGTCTCCTCATGTTGTGGCCAAAGTTCTTCAACTTTGTCTCTAGTATCCTTCCCTCCAGGGAGCAGTCGGGCTTTATTTCCTGGAGGATGGACTGGTTGGATCTTCTCGCAGTCCAAGGCACTCTCAGCACTTTCCTCCAACACCACAGCTCAAAAGCATCTATCTTCCTTCGCTCAGCCTTCCCTAAGGTCCAGCTCTCACATCCGTAGGTTACTACAGGGAAGACCATGGCTTTGACTAGGCGGATCTTTGTTGCCAGTCTGATGTCTCTACTCTTTACTATTTTATCGAGACTGGACATTGCTCTCCTCCCAAGAAGTAAGCGTCTTCTGATTTCCTGGCCACAGTCTGCATCTAAAGACATACAAAGCGTAAATATGACAATTGAATTAGATTAGTTAGGCATAGATTAATTAGGCTTAGAGTCTGAGGAAAGGAACTTCAGGGAAGAACTATCAAAGGAGAATATATGTACTCTCCTGTGTTGAAAATGAATCCTAAACTTTGATAAGAGATGAGAATATTCCCAGTTATTAGAAATCACAGAAGACTGAGACACACATTTATTATCTATATTAGCCAAAGAGCCTCGGAGCCTTGTCTTTTAGCCAGAGTATGGTTGAGAGCGCTTTAACATCTGTAGTACTTGAGTATCCACATACAAAGATAGTGTGTTAATAAGTAAAGCGGATTTTGTTTGTTTAATTTATCAGACAATTATTATGTGGGACAGGTTGATGTCGTCACAGCAGGAAGAGCTAGAATTGTGGCCAGTCGTCATTTGAAATTATTTCTGTATTCCTCCAGGTTTTTTCTTTCAACATCCATGGGGCCTCCGAGGGCTGAAGTCTTTTTCCTCCTTAACTAAGGAATGGCAGTAAGTAGATTCAATTTAAAAGGATGAAGGGAGCATATTGCAGTTACTGTTTTTGATCCTTAAAGGCTTTGTGGGGTCACTATTGTCTCCCCCTTGGGGTGAGAAGGATGGGGTATAAATATGCCAAATAAATGTCTATTGGGGTGTGAAAATGGGTAACAGTATTAACAGTATAAAAGAAATACAAGGAATGAGGCTAAAATAGTCCTGGGTGTCTGTAATGCAGCCCATGAGCCACAGCTTCTCTACCTATAAAGTAGGACACTTTTTTTATTCCTTCAGACTCTCTCTGGAAACAAACTAACCTAATGCTCTTCTCACTAAGCTATAAGGAGCAAACTGGATTGTTTACTTGTGATTTGCTGAGGTTGGTTGGGAAACCATATATTCAAACACAGGCAATCCCCGAGTTACAAACAACTCATAGTTAAGAACAGGAGTGAGATGATAGGAAGCGGGAGAAATCTACCCATAGGAAGGGAAATTCACTCATGGAAGAGTTATCATGAGGAAAGTGGGTCTCCATTGAAGCTTTATCACTAATCCTTGTTTCCACAATGACTCAAAATGTTCAAAATCCAATTCTCACAAGGACAGAAAGTGAAGTGAAATCTTCTGAACAGGGGCACAGACAACAAAGCAAACACTACGCTATCCCTATGCTATTCAAATCTCCCCCCCCCCCTCTCTATACACACACACACATATATATACATACACACACATACATATAAATATTAAATTGTATGTTGATGCTTTTATATTAAGCTGCTTTGAGTCTCCTGTGGGAGAAATAAAGGAGGGTATAAATAAATATATTGTTTCTCTTTGAAAAATCCTATCCCAGTTATATTTTACCTTGTTCACATCAGCATATTTTCAATTTTAATCTATTACATTTGGCCCGGCCATTTTTAAAACTGTTTATATGTCACTATTGATTATTGTTTTTTGTTTATGTGATTTATATGATTTGTATTTTATTGACTGTTTTATTAATGTTGTGTTATTGATGTTTTGTTTGATGTCCTTTGGGCTTGGCCTCAAGTAAGTCACACCGAGTCCCTTGGGGAGATGGTAGCGGGGTACAAATAAAGTTATTATTATTATTATTATTATTATTATTATTATTATTATTATGTTCACACACACACGGCTGATGTTACACTTAAAAATGCACCTTCTTCAACTTACATACAAATTCACCTTAAGAACAAATGCCCAGAACCTCTCTTATTCATAACTTGGGAATTGCCTATGCATTTTCCTCTAGACTATTAATGGTTCTTAACTTTCCCGCTTATATATATTTGATTACTGTGAAGCATCGTATATAAGGCAATTTGTTTCATTAATCAGCAAAACTAGGGAAGAGATTAGGATTTGTGGAATTATGTATTTGAGGTATGCCATTTCATTTGGAAAGATTAACAGTATAAAAGAAATACAAAATGATTGAAGACTATCTTTATAGTTTGGAAAAGTCGACCTTTAAAAATGGACATCTCCAGTATTTCCCTGCAACTATTATGCAGTGAAAAAAATTCCAGCACCTGGATGTCATTCAGCTGCCAGCTAAGTGAAGTCCCATCTCTCTAAAAAAGCAAGTGCAGGCGAGTGAACTAAGGATGCGACTATTATGTAAGGAATCCTAAAATGCCAATTTGGACACCAAAAATGGGGGTTGACTATTGAGTGATGGCGACTATTGTGCAATTAAGTATGGTAATTGCTGTTTCAGTGTAACATCAGAGACTGGATTTCAAAACTCATTCATGCAATTCCTCTTGTACCCTTTCCTGTTACTCTTCAGTCTGAAGTATCCCATCCCTCTTTGGCTTTGTTTACCTTACAGACTCCATCGTTGAACCCTCCACCAGACCTCCCTTTTGCTGCTACCTTGTTCCTGCCCCTCCCTGCCATCATTTTCTTGGTTGTTGGCTCCTACCTACTACTCCTTGTCCTGGTTCTGGTCCTTCGTCAGTGTCTGCTGGTAACTAGGGGATCAAATGGAAAAAGCTGGGGAAGAAAGCATAGTATTTCAAAACTTGGAAAATATATTTTTGGGGCTGCAATTCCCAGAACTCGCTAACCATCCTTGGTGGCTAGCTGTGGGATTCTAGATGTACTACAAGATAATGTTTCCAGGCTTAGGGGAATTTAGATGAGGAATGATTAATGAGGTTAGATCTCTGATTCCCTTGGTATATTGCAGCGTAGCATGTTATGGTACTCTAGTGAGCAAGCACAATGGGTTGCTAAATTTAAATTGCCGATATTCAGGACAGGGCCCCTTTTTGCAGAAGTTGTCAATAGTATATGACAATCCTCTAAATATGTATGTAGAAGAAAACACATTGCATCCTCCCAATTTTGTATTATCAGATTAGCTTTTCTTCAAATTGCATTAGCCAGCATCCATTGTTACTGACCTGGCAGATCTGGATTACCTGCAGCATGTAAATCCAAGAGATAAAGCATTGATGCTCAAATCATTAAGAGAGTGTTAAGATACTTTTTTTCCTTTCAAATACCTGGTGAACCAAGCTGGGTGTTCCGTTTCTTGTCTTTTCCTCAGGCTAGAGGTCTTTGTGCCAATTGCTGTTCCTGTGAAAAGAGGACTTGGCCAAACATGTGTGAATGTTGTATGGCTTGTGCAGAGTCATGTAACTGTGTACTCCCCTCCCCAACCCGCTGTCTGGATCGCTGCTGTTCCTGCACTAATGTGAGTCTTCTCCTTCTATGTGTCCCCACCTCCACCCCAAATAATTGACTAGTTCTTTTAAGAATATCAGTAGCCAGGGCTTTCTCTAGGCCAGTGGTTCTCAACCTGTGGCTCCCCAGGTGTTTTGGCCTACAACTCCCAGAAATCCCAGCCAGTTTACCAGCTGTTAGGATTTCTGGGAGTTGAAGGCCAAAACATCTGGGGACCCACAGGTTGAGACCACTGCTCTAGGCCTTACCATCATCACAGGTGCAGTTAGTGAGGTACAGGAAATACCTTTTTAGTGATTGCTACTGGAGTGTGACACGAGGTTTGGTTCGCCTCCTCCCCGCTCTCTGCAGATTAAGAACTGTTTATTCAGGCAGGCCTTTGACTGATTTCAGTCATGTGGCAGAGAGGTGTGCAATTGTTTTTATGTTGTTTGACCTAATGATGTTTTAACTGCTTTTAATAGAACCAATGTTTAATGTTTTCAAAGCTTTTTAAATCATACATTTTAGCTAAATTTTTAATTTAAATTTTGTAAGCTGACTTGGGTCTCTTGGCAGAAGACAATCAAAATATAAATTGTAACAAAAAAAAATACAACTATGTTAGATTTGGCTTTGGAACAAGTTTTATTTGGCCTTGTTGCTAAGAGTTACAGACTTGATTATAGATCTTCACTATCTGAGAAGCAATTAGGTGGTATAGTAATGGATGCTTCCAGGATTCTTCCTTGGGAGTAAATTCCCTACCCAATTTAATGCAGAAAGTGGCCTTGGGAAAAATCATATGTTGCAGATTTTCATGGCTATTTACTAGAACTACAGCATGGCATTGAGTAACCAATTAAAATCTTTTTGCTGCACTTAAATTGCTTCCAATTAATAGAACTACATATTTTAAAAATGTTGCCTATTTATAACACTATGTAACAAAAATTGAAAACTGTTCTGTTCGTGGTTTGAAAGTGTTATTCCCTGTTTAATTGTGCGGTACTTACTTTGAAAGTCATTATACAGTACTTGGACTTAATGTCAGGGGAAAACCTTTACCTTTACTATAATCCAGAAACTTTGTTTTTGTTGGAGAAGGTAGTACTATTATTTCCTCCAATCTAGGTAGTTCATTTGTAATTTTCCTTAATGAAAATATGCCATTTTAAACCTTTGTACAACTGCGAAGACGTTTTTGCAGTGAAATAATTTTTTCCTATGTTTTATGATCGAACCAATTAGAAAATGACCCAGGAACAAAAATTGTGTTACATAGTGTAATATAAGTGCAGGTAAACAAGAGACCCAGGGCCCTTCCATACAGCCATATAACCTGGAATATCAAGGCAGAAAATCTCACAATGTCTGCTTTGAACTGGGTTATCTGAGTTCATACTGCCATATATTGCTGTTCAAAGCAGATAATGTGGGGTTTTATTCAGGCCCCAGTTTGGTGTAGTGGTTTAAGCATTTGGACCAGAACTCTGGAGGCCCGGGTTTGATTCCCCTTTCAGCTGTTTTAGAAGCAACATCCTTCCTTGAATGAGAATACATTTCCCTAAAGCAAGTGTTTTTAAAATAAGCAAATGTAATCAACCCACTGATAGAACAATTGTATGGATCTTCATTAATAAACTTAAACTGCAAGGAGCAAGCGTTCACTGCAAACAGCAGAGCTTCTGAGTAAACGCACACAGGACTGGGCTGCAAAATATCTTGAAATGGATGGCAGCCCTGGGACAGTAGAAAGTGACTGATTGAGGAATTAGAATCAGCTTCTGGCCAGGAGAGCAGCTGGCCAAGCATGAAGAAAATGCATTTAAAAAAAAAAAACAGAGGAGAGTGAGCTTTCTTCAGAGCAGACACTGGGAACCGATTTCCCCCCTTCTGGGAGGCTCAAATTCTTTTTGCATGAGGTAATGAAAGCCAGCATGTTGTGCAATAGCAATTATGAGGTCCAAGTGATCAGATAACAAGCCACGTGGGTCATTTTGAGCAAAGATACTAAAAATAAGCAGTGCTTATTGCTTAACAAAAAAGGTTAAGACTAAAATTCTATCTTAATCAAAATATTCTGCAGCAGGAAAAAGAGGAGGGGAAGAAATCAAATTATTTTAAAGATTTATTGACCGTATTTTTATTTTAATAGTCTTGCATTATTGAAATACTCCCATTTTTTTTCAAAGGTTGGGATATTAATACAGGTGGTACTGCAGGTTAATCAAGTACGATTTCTCTCTTGCTGCCAGGGCTGGGATCCAGGGACGTGCTCCATTCCCCGTCTGTGTCCTCTCTGTGATTGTGCCTGCACCTACCAGCCCCCAGATTGTCAGAACATCAACTGCATTTGTTTTGAGATCAAATTGCGTTAAGGTATCCCATGTCTTTAAAGAACAGAAATTTGACTGTGCCTCAGAGCCAGTATTTGTCCTGGGGAGGATCTATCTCTTCATGCAAACGGTGGACATTTAAAATGGGCAGTTGCTCAAGTTGGCAAAGTTAACTATCCCAAAGCAAAAGGGAAACTTATTTCTTGTGTTGATTTTTTTACAAGACTTATTTTTGTAATGTATTTGATATTTTTATATGAATTGTTGTATTTTATAATAAAGCAAATTGTATAGCCCTGGTGTCTGTCATTAATAGAGAAATAAATGGAGGCCATTTTTTTCTGCAGTAAGGTATTTAGTTGCCAGATTTTGGTGAAAGTTTATTTGCAATTTATTTGCGATATTTGTATAGCGCTCTTCTCAACTTTAAAGGGGACTCAGGGCGATATACAAGTTTAAGCATTCTCATGCACTTTTCTTGGACAGCAAGATCAGAGTTGGATGTTTGATGGGTTGAGATAGATTGGAATGATACCATCGCTAGTACCTGTGATGCTTTAAAATATATCACTTACCAGTCTTCCAGTGAATAATAGCTTTCTTCCCTAGTCATGTACTGGAGCATTTTTTCATTGGCATACCTGCTGCCTGAAAGTCTGGTGTAAGTGTTAACTAAAAGTATATGTGATAAGTGTTTAATAAGGGTAATCAGTTGGGAGCCCCTCCCCCAGCTCCCAATCAGTTGAGGCTCCCAATCAGTTGGGAGCCCCTCCCCCAGCAACAATATTGTAATATATAATACTAATATTGTGCTGTGCTAATAATATAATATATTGCATATACATATAATATTGATTTTTTTTTTGGTGTGTCAGGAGCGACTTGAGAAACTGCAAGTCGCTTCTGGTGTGAGAGAATTGGCCATCTGCGAGCACATTGCCCAGGGGATGCCTGGATGTTTTGATGTTTTGTCATCCTTGTGGGGGGCTTCTCTCATGTCCCCACATGAGGAGCTGGAGCTGATAGAGGGAGCTCATCCGCACTTTCCCCGGATTTGAACCTGTGACCTGTCAGTCTTCAGTCCTGCTGGCACAGGGGCTTAACCCATTGCGCCACCGGGAGCTCCTATATAATATTGATAATAATGTTATAATGTAATACAATATACTAATAATACGATATAATAATTGTATATTATATATTAAATGTAATATTACTAATAATATTGCAGTATAGTGGTATAGTAATATATAATACCAATATTGTGCTATGCTAATAATTATAATATATTGTATGTACATATAATATTGATCATAAGATTTAACACAATATAATACTAACAATATAATAATTATATATTTATATTACATGTAATATTACTAACAATATTGCAGTTTAGTGGTATAGTACAATATAGTAATATATAATGCTAATATTGTGCTATGCTAATAATATAGTATATTGTATGTACAGATAACTTGTAAGCCCCTATGAGTCCCCTTTGGGGTGAGAGCGGCTGGATGTAAATGTCATAAATTAATAATAAACTAGCTGTGCCCTGCCACGCGTTGCTGTGGCCTATAGTAAAACTTATCAAAGTTGAGGTAGATATCTGGACTATTATGAAAGAGAGGTACCTACCTATTCCTTCCCCCTTTTCCTTCCCCTTTCTCTCCTTTCTTCCTTCTCTACCTCTTTCTTTCTTTCCTTCTTTCACTACTTGGTTTCATCCTTCTCTCTTTCCTTCATTCCCTCCCCCTTTCTTCCTTTGCCTTTCTTCCCTCCCTGTTTGCTTCCTTCTTTCTCTTTTTATTTCCTTTTATTTCACCACCATCATAACAATAACAATAATGCAATGCATTGCCTCTGGGACCTGACACCTCTCCCATTCCCCCAGGGTCTAATAGGAATAATAGCATAATCATAATAATAGAAATAACAACCTTTACCCGCCACGTGTTGCTGTGGCCAACCTTCCCTCTTTCTCTCCTTCTTTCCCTCCTTCCTTCCTTCCTTCCTTCCTTCCTTCCTTTCTTCCTTCCCTCCCTCCCATCTTTCCTTCTCCTCTTCCTTCTCTATCTCTTTCCTTCCTTCCCCCTTTTTCTTTCTCTTCTGGTCTCTTTTCTTCCTTCTCTCTTTCCTTCTTTCCTTCCCTCCCTCTTTCTCTACATCTTCCCCCTTCCTTCACTCCCTCTTTCCTTCCTTCATTCCCTTTTTTCTTCTCTCCTTCCTTCCTTCCCCCTTTTTCTTTCTCTTCTGGTCTCTTTTCTTCCTTCTCTCTTTCCTTCTTTCCTTCCCTCCCTCTTTCTCTACATCTTCGCCCTTCCTTCACTCCCTCTTTCCTTCCTTCATTCCCTTTTTTCTTTCCTTCTCTCCTTCCTTCCTTCCCCCTTCTTCTTTCCCTCTGTCTCTCATTTCTTCCTTCTCTACCTCTTTCCTTCCTTCCCCCTTTTTCTTTCTCTTCTGCTTTCTCTCTTTTCTTTCTTTCTTTCTTTCCTTTTCTTCCTTTCTTTCCTCTTTCTTTCCTTCCCCCTTTTTCTTTTACTCCCTTTCTCTCCTTTTCCTTCTTTCCTTCCTTCCTGTCTTTCCTAGATTTTGACAGGGCGGGAAGGGGCGGGGTGGGGTTTGGAGGTGGCGTGAAGTAAAAGGAGGTAAGATTGGGGCGGGGGAGTGATGGAGCGTGGGGTTGCGTGTGTGTGTGCGGCGGCGGGGGGAGTGGGGTTGCGTGTGTGGCAGCGGGGGGAGTGATGGAGCGTGGGGTTGCGTGTGTGTGTGCGGCGGCGGGGGGAGTGATGGAGCGTGGGGTTGCGTGTGTGTGTGGCGGCGGGGGGGAGTGATGGAGCGTGGGGTTGCATGTGTGTGTGCGGCAGCGGGGGGTGTGGGGGTTGTGTGTGTGTGGCGGCGGGGGGGAGTGATGGAGCGTGGGGTTGCGTGTGTGTGTGCGGCGGCGGGGGGGGTGATGGAGCGTGGGGTTGCGTGTGTGTGTGCGGCGGCGGGGGGAGTGGGGTTGTGTGTGTGTGCGGCGGCGGGGGGAGTGATGGAGCGTGGGGTTGCGTGTGTGTGTGTGCGGCGGCGGGGGGAGTGGGGTTGCGTGTGTGTGTGCGGCGGCGGGGGGAGTGATGGAGCGTGGGGTATATATAGATGCTATAAATGAACAGTATACTCCCCTGAAGAAGTAGAAGCTAAAGCAGCAAATCATGTAGAATGTAATTGCCATGCTTATCTACACATTTTAAAATTAAAACCAATTCCAGATATAACGTTACTACTTAGGATTGGGGGGAAAGACTGCTCCACTTTTAAAATTACATATATGTTCCATCTTCCCTCCTATGAGTTACTTTACATGTATCTTCATTTCTCTTATTCGGTGAAAGACGAATAAGAGACGAATGACTCCTTCAGACTGACTCCTTCAGATTCTTGGTTGAAAGTTGGCTGTCCATAAACACCATCTAGGTCTAGAGATTTCCCTCCAGAAGTGTACACATCTCAAAGATGCTGAGTTTTCTCATTCACAGAATCTTAGTGCCATGGCTATAATTTTTATCAGTTTTTGACCCGGACAGTGACGATACAAAGTAATTTTGTGTCATGGTAATGAGCCACAGCCTTGAACTTTCATTAATGTAAAAAAAAAAAAAAACCTAGAAGAGTATACTTTGCATGTTTCTGATAAGATGCAGTCCCCTGCATAGTTCAGGTGGCCAGATCGAGGAGAGAGCCATGTTTGTCACAATCCTATTAGCACAACTAGGACTGCTTGAAAGGTCAAAACTTGGGATATGTATATTAAAATGTATTGTCTCACCTCAACATTTGGTTCTGTTGGGAGGCTTTGCATATTTTTACTGCATGTGAGCCATCTTTTTTGCTTTTTTTATTCAATTGTGAGTGCAAAAAACTATTCTCCTTTCTGAGATGATTTATAACCTTTGTTTGATCATTTTTGACTGCATACTCTTAAAGCCACATGCTGAAGTAACAACAAAGGGATATAGATCCCCTTCTCCTTGACACAATGTATATAGCTGAAGAAAAAGCTGCACAATATTTGGGTGAGGATAAGTCACAAATCATTCTGAATCGACTATGGAAAGCAAGGAACAAGTGCAAAGAGGTAATGCAGAGAATGAGGGATAAAGTCACTATTGAATCTGTGCTGTTAGTTGGATTACAGGATCATCTTCCAAGCAGCTAATCTAACTGAGCCTAGATATTTCTGCTTACAGCATGCATTAACACCCAGGAAAAGAAACAGGTTAATCGGCTTACATATTGGCACCAGCCCAGATAGGTGACACTAATTTATCAAGGTAGGTAAAGTTTGCTGCTTTGCTGGCGTTATGTCTATATTCCTATTAAAAATAACTTTATAGATTTGGTTGTAGGTATATAAAGATGCACGATTCTATTACGTCTTCTAACCACTCTCCTATTGAATGGCATTGGCCAATTATTGGACACTTAGATGGTTTTAGCCAGAGATTCAATCTCATGGTTCAACCTCTGGCTTTACTGGCCTTGAAATTATGAAACAGCAAATCCTTCTTTGTTTTTCTTATTTATGATTTATTGCTTTTATATCCTGCCTTTTCTCTGAGGAACTCAAGATAGTATGCATTTCCTTTCCTATCTGATTCCCACAATAGATAGATAGGCTGAGAGAGTCATTTTTGTTGTTTATTTGTTCAGTTGCTTCCGATTCTTTGTGACCTCATGGAACAGCCCATGCCAGAGCTCCCTGTCGGCAGTCGCCACTCCCAGCTCCTTCAAGGTCAAGCCAGTAACTTCAAGGATACCATCTATCCATTTTGCCCTTGGTTGGCCTCTTTTCCCTTTTCCTTCCATTTTCCCCAGCATCATTATCTTCTCCAAGCTACTCTGACTTCTCATTATGTGGACAAAGTACTTCATCTTTGCCTCTAATATCCTTCCTTCCAGTGAGCAGCCGGGTATTACTTTCTGCAGCATGGACTGTTTGGATCTTCTTGAGGTCCAAGGAACTCTCAGAATTTTCTTCCAACACCACAGTTCAAAAGCGTTTATCTTCCTTCACTCAGCCTTCCTTATGGTTCAGCTCTCTTATCCGTAGGTTATTATGGGGAATACAATTTCTTTAACTATGTGGACCTTCATTGCCAGTATGATGTCTCTACTCTTGGCAGAAGTTTATTGAGTTTAATGGCTCAGTGGAGATTCCAGCACAAATCTTGGTCATCTCAGTCCAAGATAAGTAACCACTACACTATCCTGGCGTTGATGAAGATGAATTTCATGGTGATGTTGTTCACCA